AATCGTCCCCAGATGGCCCTCTGAGGCCACCAAGAGGCCCGAAAGAAGGCCCAAGAGGCACGACAGACGGCCCAAGATGCCCCCAAGACAACCCAAAGACGGCCCCATAGACCTCCAAGACGGCCCTAAAGCGCCCACGGACGGACCCAGGACTGCCCAGAGAGGGCCCCAAAACGGCCTCCGAAGGCCAAGAGGTCCATTTGAGGCGCCATGAGGCCCCCAAGACGGAGCTCAAGAAGCTCCTCAAAGGCCCCCAAGAAGCACTCAGGAAGCCCCAAGGAGGCCCCAAGAAGGCCTCAAGAGGCCTCCTCTTCTTCTTCTTCCTCCTCCTCCTCCTCATCATCATCCTTCTCTTCCTCCTCCTCCTCCTCCTCCTCCTCCTCCTCCTCCTCCTCCTCCTCCTCCTCTACTCTCTTCCTCTCCCAAGTGTTCCCCAAAGCGGTTCCACAACGGCTGGGGAGCGCATAGTCCCATAGCATGTCGGCTGCGGTGATTCGCCGTAGGCGTCTTCGATAGAGGTGGTACGGTATTCTCTTCTGCTCCAATCTCGAGGTGCTCTTCAAACCGTGCTGGGATGATCGGCGGCCTGCTTTCACGCGCTCCTCGGATCCCTCGCGGCCTTCCAACAGCCCCCTGGTTTCCCTTCAGGGTCGGCGGAACAGGCCGTAAGGCCTATCCAATTATCCCCAACTTCCCAGCGACACTCCAAACAAAGAGCAACACCCTGCAAAGATGAATGCACAGCCTATCTCTCTCTCTCTCTCTCTCTCACTGCGTGTCCCTCTCCTTCCCTCTCCCTCTCCCTCTCCCTCGCCCATCTAGCTCTCGCTCTCTCTCTCTCTCTCACTCTTTCTCCCTTTAAGTGTATTGTTTTTTTTCTCTCTCTCTCTCTCTCGCTCTCTCTCTCTCTCTCTCTCTCTCTCTCGCTCGCTCTGTTTTTTTTACTAACTCTCTCTCTCTCTCTACCTTCTGTTGTTTCTTCATCTCTCTCTCTCTCTATATATATATATACACATGTATGTATCTATGTGTATAGTAATCTCTCTCTCTCTCTTTCGTCGCTCTCTCTCTCTCTCTCTATATATATATATATATAGAGATTCTCCTCCCCCCACTCTCTTCCTCTCTGCCCTTCCCTCCCAACCTCCCTCCCTCGCTCCCTCCACCTTATCGTCTCCCTCCCCAGACACGCGTGGGCCAAACCTGAAAATATACGTGTAAGGATGGCCCGCCTCCTGGGGAAAGTGCTACATCGCCCACTACCCCTCGCAATGTTCCCGAGTGGAGAGCGGCAGGGGAGGTTACTGCGGCATGCAAAACGGACACTGCGGAAGCGGTATGGCAAACGAAGTTAAGAGCACAAAATAGATCGAGCTTACCATGGGCGTGTTGAGCGTACACGAATGGCGCATGTTCTTCAGGTACCCGGCTGGACCTGAATGGGGTAAACATGTAACTGGAGGTGGGCGTTTGCAAGACGCCGAGCTGCCCATGGGTGGGCCGAGCTTTCAAGAAATGTCACACTTCTCAATCCCAAGAGGCCTCAGTGGCAATGTACCCTCCAAAACAATCACGCGTCAAGGGTAATGTTAATCGCGGGTGTGATGATCGTGCAAGTTAAGTTCAGTTTCGTGATCGTCGCTGGATCGCGGCGAGTAGGAACAGCAGTCGTAAGTGGTCACAGCAGCAAGAGCCATGAGCCAGCGCGCCTCTCAGGAGCAAGGAATATCGATCCCGACACGCAGCGGGACCTCAAGCATTCTTCGTGCACAAGCCATGCCGCGCATTCATGAGCAGACGACTGTCCCAAACGGCCCTAAACTACGCAGTGGCAACTACGTAAAATTAGAGAGCTATTCGCTACCAGTGGCTGAGCTGCAAGGTAGCTGCACAAACGAAGCGCATGTGAAAACAATGATCGCGAACAACACCTGGCTTACATGCAGGGCCGAAGGTACCCTTCCAGAATGCCACCAGCGATCCTATGCGCACGGCCTCGTGTCAATCAATTCGAAGACACCCGCCACCGGAGACGCACACCAACCGATCACCAGTTGCAGCGGTTAGGTCGGGCATGTCCCCCTACAAGGGGATTTTTGACGAAACATAAAAATAGTCAAAACACAATAACATAGCCAAAAATGGTCAAACATTCGTCCCCGGATTGTTTTTTTCCCAACCCTCCTTGGTTGGGTATTCGTTTTGAATGGAGGGGTGTGGTCGCGTCCCTCCTCCTTCTCCTCCTCCCGCCTCCCACCTCCTCCTGCCCTCTCTTCGCCGACGATGGGGGCTGCGATCTGCGAAACTGTCGCCACTTTCGAGGGCTGCTGGTGGGTCCAGCGGAGTGAGGCACCGCGCGGATCTGAGCGAGACCTCGCCGTCCCTGGGGGGCTGCGATCTGCGAAAGTGTCGCCACTTTCGAGGGCTGCTGGTGGGTCCTGCGGAGTGAGGCACTGCCGGATCTGAGCGAGACCTCGCCGTCCCTGGGGGGCTGCGATCT